GGGGGGAATGTGTGGATGGGGACACATGCATTTGCAAGTGCCTACCAGCTGAAGTTCTCAATGTGCTCTCTGTCATTTTGACATAGGCCTCGGGGCTTTCTGTGATTTGTATATCTGGAAAGAAAAGAGCAGGACATTCAACATGGTACAGAGACAGTGAGAGCGAGGAACAACAAACTCTGTCCCCACAGGAGCAGGACCGGCGTTTCCCACACACTGCAATCTCAGGCAGGCCCCCGTGATTGGAAGGATGAGAGCTGAGTACCCAAGGGGCTGTATGAGAGCGCGAGTATTAGACACCCTCCCTGACAAAGCTGAACAAAAACAGAAGTTGCTGGAAAAGCTCAGCAGGTCTGGCAGCATCTGTGAAGGAGTAAACAGAGTTAACGTTTCGGGTCCGGTGACCCTTCCTCAGAACAAAGCTGAAGGTTGCTTCTCGTGCAGGGGCTGATATCGGGGGGAAAAAGTGTCAACGTTTAAAAACGAAAAAATGGGGTGGGTGCAATTTCCATAGCGCCTTTCACATCCACAGGAGTGACCTCAGTAGCTCTACAGCCAAAGAAGTACTTTTAAAATGTAGGCACTGTTGTAGGAGACGCACTAGCCAATTTGTGCACAGCAATATCCCATAACCGCACTGCGAGAGGATGATGTCTCTGAACAGATGTTTACTTTAGTGATGCTGGCCAATGGCCAGGATGCAGGAGGGAACGCCCCGCACATCTTCAAAGTTGTGCCCCAAGATCGTTTACTCCCGCCCAATGCACGTTTCAGCTGCAAGATGGCGCCTCACACAATGTGGCACTCCCACTGAAGTGAGCTGGAGTGTCAGCGTGGGGTTGCTATGGCTGGAACATGCCCTTTTGCTTCAGAGGTGGGAGTTCTGCCCACTGGCACAGATGACCACCCATCCTCCTGCAACACCCCTCCACTACCAACCAGCTGGGTGATACAACCCTCCCATGATTCCATTCAAATCTACCTGACCATAGCCTGTCTGCCCGGGGAGTTGGGGGGGTTTCCCATGACAGTCTGATCAGTGCAGCACAGACTTATTCTCCAACACATGCAGCATCTTCAGGATTACAATCAGGAAGGGAACTGAAGTCATGTACCATCCTGCTGCAGGAAGACTCCATGTCAAACCTCACCTTACACTCTTGTCCCAGAGCCAGTCAACAGCACACCCTCTCGAGCAGCCTATATCGATGAGGAGACATTGCCAGAGCACGTGTATCTGATGGCAGGCCTGGGACATCAGGCAAGGGATGAAGGGGGAGTGAGTTGCTGACCAAACTGGACATCTATGGATACAGTCCATTCTGCTTCACATGTGCAAGACTTGGACCAGCATGATATCAAGACACTCAACACTTTCACCCGAGCTGTCTTGGCAAGTTTCTGACGATCAGACGGCAGGAGGAAATATCAGACTGGTCATTGTAGCCAGAATACCAGACCCAAAGTCACCACCATGAAGCCTCTGAGGAGCTTGAGCATGGGGCTACCCTCATGGCTATGAAAGGCAAAACCACAAGAACACTTTTGAAGCTATTTTTTGTCACCATCCTTGCTTTGTGAACAGAACAATAATGTTCTGCAAACCTTTCCTATTCATGTACTTATCCAAATGTCTTCTAAATATTGTAACTATACCTGCTTCCACCACTTACTCAGGCAGTTCATTCCACTCTCTACGTAAAAAATTTGCCCCTCATGTCATTTTTAAATCTTTCTCCTCTCACCTTAAAAATATGTCCCCCAGTTTTGACCCTCCCCCATCTACATTCCCCAGTTCCTGCCTAATATTGTGTTAGTTAGCCTTCCGCAGTTTCGTACCTTTACCTGAGGACTAGTCTTATCCTTAAACATAAGTGACTTAAAATTACAGAATTATGATCACTATTCCTAAAATGCTCCCCCACTGAAACTTTGATCTCCTGGCCGGGCTCATTCACCAATACCAGGTCTAGTGTGGTCCCAAGGTTAGATCACACAGAATACAAGGAAAACTAGCCATTTGGATACAGAACGGGCTCGAAGTAGGAGGCAGAGAGTGGTGGAGGAGGGTTGCTTTTCAGACTGGAGGCCTGTGACCAACGGTGTGCCACAAGGATTGGTGCTGGGTCCACTGCCTTTTGTCATTTTGATATACAGGTCCTGCCTTAAGCAGTGCAACTTAATCAGGGCCTGAGTTCATGAGGCTGCAGTTTTCTTCAGCTTAGGCACCGTCCATTTTTGTTAGAAATAAAACAGCTCTCAGTGAGTGAAGGTCTGTTAGTGATGTGGCTCTCTTACAGCTGACGCAAAGGCTTTAAGTGGAGTTCCAATTATTTGGAAAGAAGCTGAACATTTGAATCTGGTTTTAACAGTGTAGAAGGTAAAGTCTGGTCTGAATAAAAGAGGCCATGGGCTGTCAGTATCATAGAACATTTACATACAGATTGTCTGCAAGAGAAACTCAGCTGCCCCACCCTCTCGCTATAGCCTTTCAATCTTTTCTCTTCTCAGGGCCAGTCCCTTCCTTAAAGCTATGGCCACATTTGCCTCCACTCAGCTGAATCCCAGCAGTTTGTGTGTCAGTGTGTGGGAGTCTGTACGAAAGTCTCTCTCTGCAAGAGAGTTTCTGTGAGAGTGAGAGCCTGTAGCAACGGCTCATTAGTCTAGGGGTTTGATTCTCGCTTTGGGGATTACATGCGCGAGGTCCCGGGTTCAAATCCCAGATGAGCCCCAATTGTTCGTCTTATGGGTGGTGCGGTGGCTCAGTGGTTAGCACTGCTGCCTCACAGTGCCAGGGACCTGGGTTCGATTCCACCCTCGGGCGACAGTCTGTGTGGAGTTTGCACATTCTCTGCGTGGGTTTCCTCCCACAGTCCAAAGATGTGCAGGTTAGGGTGGTTTGGCCATGCTAAATTGCCCATAGT